TCGGTTACCACTAGAACCTCTGGTACCATAGGGCCTTTTCCCTTATCCTTCTTTCCTCCGGCGTCCGACTAATTTCCAAATGGAGCGCTACGAGGGGGCAGGTTGGCCGGCTCAGCGATATGAATGCTAGTCCTAGGCCTGGCCGACCTGGTATGTTGAGGAGGGGGTTGTGGCAGAATTTAGACAGATGCCACACGATGAGAAGGGGCCTGTGGAAGATTTTGGACAGATGTCGCAGCATCCGCCCGAGATGAAGAACGATGCCTCTTAGAAGAAAGTAGTTCGGACGGCATCAGAATCGAGCTGGTGTATTGGGCAGGGGGTTGTTCAGGATTTGATCCTGATGCCAACCTAGAAGAAGTGCCTTGCCGATTTTGGCCCTCTTTAAAAGAGGCGGTCACTTCGATTATGGAGCATGCACTACCACTAGCAGTGGTTGTATTTGTGTCCTCTCTGTCCGTGTTACTCGGATCGTAGGGGACTAAGGGATCTACCAGACTTCCATCCGGATTCCTAGGGGCGTCTTTTTCGTACGTTTGTCTCGTACGCGCCATGTTCGACCACAGGGACTGAGAAGAATAGGTGGAGGTGAGTTGGTACGCACTAGAAATGGACCCACTCCATAGAGAAGAGGACTCGTCCCCGTCCACTCTAGACTCCTCAGTCTCAGGCGAACGACCGGCCTCATGAGGAGAAACGGACGAAGCCGAGTGTTATGCTAGTTCGTGTTTAAAAAATAAAACAAGTATGGAAAAGAAAAGAAAAAAGAAAGAGGAAGTAGGCGGTTACCTCTGACCGAGTAAAAACTTGTGAAGCTTTTGAGATCTTGGATGAAGTTGACCGAAAAACTCAAACTCTTGACTGGAAACTTTAAACACTTGGCAGAGCTCTTGAAGATTAACGAAGAAAAGTACTTTCTCTCTCTAGAAGCTCTGACTTCTCTCTAGAAAACGCAAAAATCCAAAGTAATAAAATGAGGTCAAACAAGCCCTATTTATAGGCAAAAATTTATGAGGGCTGGAAGGTAAATTACCTTTCCCACCTAGAAGCTCAAACGGTAAACTTTTGAAAAGTTTAACCTAGAAAGCTAAAACGGTTTAAAAACGCTTCGTCATTTAAGACGGGAAGACGAACGGTCACCCTAACGGCGCGTCAAGATAGACGATCAGGTCGACGGAATTCAAACCGTCATTCCGGAAAATACAGATAACAGCTGCTCCCCTTAAAGCCATTCGGCACAACCCGTTCGCCCGGATTTAAGACTCAAAGTTCACTAATGAAATCAGGCGGACCAGACAAGGCAGCCAGCCCTGAGGAGAAATCCCTTTGGCAGACGGACAGTACTGTCCGTCCCCTACTAATGATAAATGCTTAAAAAAACCTAAGTACTCTAACGTATCCGGACGAGTAGAATGATCAGAGGAGGCGGCCCTTATGGTACGAGTCACCCTCTCTGAGGGGCAAATGTTTAGGGTAAAAATACCCCAACACGTGGCCCATTTAAAGGGCGACACGTGTCCCTATAGGAAGATGACACATGTCAAACATAAGAGCACCTAAAATAAAATAAAGGCCTCCCAACGTCAGGAGGCCCAACTCCCGAGAAAGCCGCAAAATGGCGCCCCCTTTAGATACGTGCCCTCACCTGATTGCGCTGCCAATCAGAGTACGTTATTCTAGGTCATTAACCCTAGAGGGTCACACTTTCCCACCCCTATAAATACCCCAATCATTTATGATGGGAGGGGTGGATAGAGACATATCATTCTAAGAGCATTCAATAGCTCCAACTTCTCTCTACTTTCTCTCTCTAGATTACTTTTTTTCCGATCACTAACTTGATCGTCGGAGGCGAATATTCCGTCAATTGGAATATTCGTTGTTTTGCAGGTGCCCGCATCCATCCGGCGAATATTCCGTCAACCGGAATATTCGTTGTTTTGCAGGTGTCTGCGTCCATCCGCCGAATATTCTGTCAACCGGAATATTCGTTGTTTTGCAGGTGTCCGCATCCATCCGGCCGAGTTCAAGACCAGTATCTCAAGGGATTCCAAAAAAACCCTGAAACAAGTAGCATCATTGTAAGGGGATAGACCAGAAGACGAAAGAACCCTAACCGTAGTAGTGTAATGTCCGTCACAAATATTTCTCTTACACTGCTTTATATTACGCTCAGACAAATCATATTCCTCATCAACATCCAATAAAGGTGGAGACACATCAGCCAACGTGTCACGCACAAGCTGCACAGAACCACCAGGCTCACACTAAGCACGAATAGCAGCAGAGATACTCTCTTCTTGTCGTCGACGTCTGATACCCAAAGAATAACACTCACGATTACTCCACAGAGAAAAGGTTTTAAGGACACAAAGAGGCAACACAAGCAATTTAACCCAGCAAGAGATGTCATCAGGCTTGCTAATCACCTTATCAAGCGCTCCTTTGAGAACCCTAGAAAAACCTAAGCGACACTTAAGAGGGATAGATTTTACCGAACGAAAACGCTTTAATAGCAAACTATCAAGGAGAGCAACATCGAAAGCAAAATAAGGCTCACGAGGTACACTAAAAGATACCTCCGAAGAAGGACCCTGCGGTTTAGGAAAACCATAAAGAACAAATAGCACAACACCATCCCACGAATCAGGTGGGGCCACAATATCATCAGAACCAGAACCATGTCGACACTACGTACGAAGAGTATGTGTCTTGAAAGAATCCCCACAAAGCCAAATGCCCATACAACGAAAGGTCATCTCAACCTCTAAGAAAATATCCAAATCAAAAGTAAGAGAGAGTCGGGTCATATCCCGCGCGTCTGAACAACAATGACGGTCATAGAGTTGAGGGAGCAAAGAAGTTTTTGTGAGCCCATTACCCCGGCCATCATGACACCCATTAATTCCCACAAATGGGCATTATTATACCACATTATTATGATTATTATTAATTATTATTAAATATTAAATATTAATTATTATTATTATTATTATTTTTATTATTATTATTATTATTATTATTATCATCATCATCATCTTTAAATTCTAGTTATTATTAATAAAAACTATAAAAAAAACAATAAAAGTGAAAATCTTAAACTTAAAAAATGTAAATATCATACATGTATCTTACAAAATGAACATCGTCTTTTAATGTAATACATTTGGTATAAATTAAAGGTATATAGTATCCTCCTCCCAGTTTTACGCTTGTACTTCCCCTTCTACTATTATATATGATGTTTGTATGCTTTCATTGGTACATATTTTTTTTCTCGATATATACATCATCATCTTTCACTTTTTTTTTATTTCATTATCATGTAGAAGATCAATTTTTTTAAAAAACAATGTTAGTTACAACTAAAACACACTATAAACAAAACTAGAAAATCAAATAAACATCCATAAATCAAATAATCTATAATTTAGTTATTAAAATAAAAAATATTTATCTTTTACAAATGAACATAAATTTCATCTAAAATGAAAATTTATAACAGATTAAATTTACTAGTCAAAATTCACTGAACATTAGTTTTAATTGACTCATGTTATAATTAATGAAAGTTCTTATAACATAATTCAAATACTATTGTAAGAATCACTTCCATGATAAACTATAAGAATACAAAACTCTTATTGAAATCTCTTATAAGATCTATAGAAATTTATAAAGAAAATGGCAAAATATACATTTATTAGAATTCCAATAACCATTTTTTTAATATATGAATGACCATTTTTAATATATAAATGAACATTTATCAAAATAAAAATGAACATTCATCAAATTGAAAATGAACATTCATAAAAAGAATTTTCACTACGAACTAAATTTACATTTTTATAATCATGCGAAATATGTCAAATTATCTAGAAAATTAGGACAATTACACTCTATTTTCATTTTTTTTATGTCCAACATTTTTGTAATCTAATGTAATATAATAACACAGCACAAATCGATTCAACAAGTATACTAAACATCATTCTACTATAATTATAAGAAATCACTTTTATGATAATAAAAAATTATGAGAAATCAAGAACTTTAACCAAAGTTTAATATATCTACAAAAAATATTTGAAGAACAAGGCAAAAAGTTAGGGTTTGTACTTTTTCCTTTCAAAAATAAACAAAATTACTTACAATTCGATTTTTGACCTTTCTTTTGAAGAAATTTCCTTCAATTTTGTGATTTCATCCTTTATATCCAATGTTTTAGTTGAGATTAAATTTTTGTTTGATTTTTTTCAAGAGAAATTTGGGAGATTTTGGTAGTTTAGGAGAGAGAAATTGGAGTGAAAAAGTGAGAAAAGTAGGTAAAATTTGAGAAGAGAGAAAATATACAGAGTAGTTGTAATAAATCTTTGTTTAGCATTTATATGAGGAGAGAGATAAGTTGAATTTTTTTTTTTCCGTGCTTTTTCTGTGTGGCTGGCCACACCGTGTGGCCGAGGTTACTTATAAAAGTTACTTATCCAGGGTTACTTATAAGGGTTACTTATTCAGGGGTTATTTATAAGAGTTACTTATTCAGGGTTATTCAATCGGTCAAGGGTTACTTATTATGGGTTACTTAGTTGATTAACACGTTTTCGCCGGGGTTACTTATTCCAGAATTACTTAGTCGGTCAGGGGTTATTTATTCTAAATTTACTTAGTCGGTTAGCTCATTTTTTTGTGTGAGTGTAATCCCTAAATAAGTAACCCCTGACGAACCTAATAACCCATGAATAAGTAACTCCATGATAAGTAACCCTGACCACATGACGTGGCCAATCACATGTAATGTTTTGTTTTTTTTTTCAACTTGGTAGTAGTTACTTGGGGAGGGGGGTGTAAGACTGTAGGTGTTAGTATCTAAACTTGGGTGTAGGCATTAACAATTAAACTCGGCATATTCGTAGTAGTGGGCTACAGTTACTAAGGATGCATGGGCTTTGGTGTAGGGATAAATAATTATCTAAAGTCCGGCCCATTAGTACCAATCCAAAGGCCTAGATCTTTTCCATTTCTCCATTTAGATCTATTTCATGTTCGCGCTGTCTCGCTTTACTCTCTCTCCTCCATTCAACCGTACTCCGAATTTCTGCATTGAAACATCTTGCGAGCTTTCTCTCCTCCATTAAAGCTGCTTCTCAGGTAACATGTTTTCTATGTAATCGCCGAATAACAATCTTACTATAGTGTTAATCTTATATTTAATTGCCAGTATAGTCAATTTAGGGTTCTTCGAAGTTGGATTATTAACTATTGGTTATAATTAATACTCGAAGAATTTAACCTAATTTTTGGAGCATACTTTCATGATTAAGTCAACTTTGGCTGTTAATTTGATGCAAACTTTTGATTTTTTAGGTTTTTGATTTAAATTTGTAAATTTCAAATTTGAATTCACAAAGTTTTTTGCTGATAATTTTGTTAGTTTCATAGCTTTTGAGAAGGTGATTAACAAGAAGAGGAGAGAGAAATGGCGCATCGGCTACTCCGAGATCTCGAGGCCGATGGCTGGGAACGCTCCGACTTCCCTATTATCTGTGAATCTTGCCTCGGTGACAATCCTTATGTTCGCATGGTAAAGCTTGCTTTTCTTTATTTACATGAATTATTACTTTATATGCTTGATTAACTTAAGTTTGTACTATTTTTTTTAATAAAGTTGAATTGAATAGGTCTTATTATTGTGTAAAATTGGAGATATAACGTAAATTTTTTCTTTGGTAAATTGAAATGATATTTTCTGAACTCAAATGAACTCATTTTTGCTGAACACAACTTTTAATCTCTTTTGGTTAACTATAATTTTTGCTGAAACTTATTTAAATAACTTGAGAAGAACTACTTAATTCCTATGTTCTTTAGTAATCATAACGCGAGGGACATTTTTGAGGAGAGAAGAGAAGTTGGGATACAAAGAGGGACTCGTGTGATGATTGGTAAGGAGAAGTTGGGAGTTTTGGGTGAATTATTGAGGTGGAGGGACTTGCAATTTCCAAGTATGTAAGTTGATTGCTGCAAAACTTTTATTGGGTTTGGCATGCTTACCCCTGAATGCTTACACTTATCCCTGTTGGTTTTTTCGCTGGTTTGATTATTGGGTTTGGCATATGAGTTTATGGGAACTTTTTAAACCTTTCATTGAGGTAATATTTAGCATGCTTTTTTCTACTTGTGAATGGGTTTTGGTCCAAAAATATTCTGAAATTACCATTAGGCTTCTCTTGAGTAGAATTAAAGTTTATTGTATTCATTGTAGCCTTCTATTTGTGAGAACCCTTTTTTATTAAGCAAGTAAAGACCATTTCTGATTTTGCATCTTTGTCTTGCTTCACTTGATCCCTTTGATTTTTCTTTTGCAATGAATTTTCCATAGCCATAGTTCATATCTCTTAGATGACACATTGTGTTTAGTTGTTTTGTACTCCCTCCGTTCTACTAAGATTGCCCCATACCCTTTAGTTCACCTTTTTTATGAATTAGTTCTTTTAAAACATGTACCATTTGAATTTTGGGCTTTTTTTTTTTTTTTTTTTTTTTTTTTTTTTGCCTAGCACATGGCTTGTTGCTGAGAAAACATATTGTTTTACTAGGTTTCTTGTTTGTTACTTTGAATTTTTTTTTTCCTCTCTTCATCTTTGGACGGGATGGGATAAGTGAGTTTATATTTCATCCTTTTAATGCTTTGTAATAATCCATTTAACCATAGCTGTGGTGAAGGGTATATTTGGTAATTCACTAAATATGGAAGCTTCTTACTAATCCGTTTTACCCTAGCAGCAATTAAACCTGGCATTCTTGACCGACCGTGACCCGAAAGTTGACCCAAAATCATTGACTCGAAAATGACCCGAGCCTGAACTAACCTGACCCAACCTGAACCCGAGCCGACATGAAGTTGACCCGAACGTGACCCGATGCCCGAAATTGACCTGACCCAAAATGACCCAAAACCCGAAGTGACCTTTCCCAATTATTGATTGACCCGAATCGACCAGGAGATCGTACCCGAACCGACCCGAACTTAACCAACCCGAAGTGACCTGATTTCTGAAGAGAATAGGGTGAAATGGATAATTATTTTATTTAGGCTTTCTTTCTTTCCTAAGTAAGAGGTACTCACTTTTTTTTTTTTTTTTTTTAATTTTTTTTTTTTAACGATTTTACTTTCTTTTTCCAACTATATTTTTAAGTGAATTTATTTTGGTGACCTGACCGAAATTGACCCGACCCGAAAATTCGTACGAAAATTTGACCCGACTCGAACTAGCACAGCCCAAACTTGGCCCGAAGTGCTGGCCCAAAACCCGAATTGACCCGACTCAAATATTTGCTGACCCGAAATCAACCCGACCCGAATGACCCGTTTGCCGGTCTAGCAGCAATCCTAGAGACTCTTGATTGAGTGGAGGCATGCTTTCTAAATCCTCCTTGTGAAGTGCAATCTCTATTGTGGACATGTATGGCCGTGAAACATCATAGACTATAGTGCTCTTTATCTCTATTAGGCTACTCTTGCAGTGGATATTACCAATTATTTTTATTTTTAAATTTTTTTCTTGACTTATGCGGGGAAATTTACAATTTGGATTGGTCTTCATCTTGCAGACTAGAGCAGAATATGACAAGGAATGTAAGATCTGTACAAGGCCATTTACAGTTTTCCGCTGGAGACCAGGCCGAGATGCAAGATACAAGAAATCAGAGATTTGCCAGACTTGCAGTAAATTGAAAAATGTTTGTCAAGTATGCCTCTTGGATCTTGAGTATGGTTTGCCGGTCCAGGTTCGAGACACTGCTCTTAGCATCAGCACCAGTGATGCTATTCCCAAGAGTGATGTCAATAGGGAGTATTTTGCAGAGGAACATGACCGCAAGGTATGTTAGTCTTTATTTCATAATTGCTGAATAGGTTTGGGTTTGTATGTGGCAAGGATCTCTGCCTAAGATTTCATTAAAGACCAATACATTATATGTTCCTTTTATCCTTTTCTTTCTGTTAGTTGCTAAACTGCTTAGTTTTATATGCCAAATTTTTGTTAGTGTGGTCATTACATTCATGTATGCGTGGTGCTTAGATTGCTTCTATACCACCATGGTACACTTTTACCACTTGACTTGAGGTTTTAGAATATTGCCCTAAAAATCTTAGTTATGTTTGTTTGTGGAAACTAAATATTATACACATTCTGGTTTGGTGTAGATCATCACTCATCAGCCTTTCTTACTTCTAAGTATTTATTTTTACTCTGCTATAACATTGTCAGTTGGAATACATATTATGATTTAGGATGAAAGATAATGTTAGTAAACTTGAAGCCTTAAATGAAATATTGCAAGCAAAGTATTTGGAGGTGCTGCCATCATCATTATCATTAGATTTAAAATATGAGACAAAGAGTCTTTTGAGACGAGGGAGTTAGGGACCAAGGGGGTGAAGATTTACACATCAATATTATGATTGTATATATGCTATCATACTCAAAAGTAAATGTAAAAAATTGAGAAATCAGGTCCTGTTCTCTTAAATTAAACTTTTAATTGAACTATTGAGGTGTTGCATATTACCTTTTGACTTTCAATCATAATGCAAAATAAATATTAAATGAAATTTGGAAAATCTATAAGCTCTAGATTTTGTAACACATGCTCATTACCTTGAACACTCCAAATTTGTTTGATTATTAGTCACTAATATCTTGTGTAGCATTCTTTTTTATGTTTAGAGAAGACAAGAAAAACGGAAAATGTCTAAGTAGGAAATCAATGTCAGGGAAAGGAACTGTGAAAAAAATTTAAAGTAAATTTAGAATAAGTAGTGTGGTCTTGAGAGTTAGAATCTAAACCGAGAATGATAGGATGAGAGAAAGAGGATCATGAAAGAAGATTAAGTGAAGAAAAAAGATAATAATAAAAAAAAAGAACGTAACTGACCTAGAGAGCTGATCCATTCAATATAGGCCGTCATGGTTTGGGGTTTAGAAGCCTAATCGTCCTTGAAATGTTTCTTCGGATTGGTTGTCATTGTTCCAATTGCTCTTGAAGGTGAGGTATTGAGATAGAAAGGCTGGGATAATTAATAAGGGATTATGGATCTTTTATTTTTTCTCTAACCTTCCCTCTTTAAATTAATTACCACAACCCAAATGCTTGTAAGGTGGAATACAAAAAAAAAAAAAAAAAAAATAAATGAGAAAAGTGTTTTTTCTTTGCTCCTTGGTCCAAGGTACCCTCAGCATCTCAAAGTGTCTCTTCTTGTAGTAAAATGAGGGACAGTTCCAGCTGGTAGCTTGGCACTAGCTTTAGTTGGATCATTTGGGTTGCCATTGTTCTTATTTCTCTTGAAGGTGAGGTATTGAGATAGAAAGGCTAGGATGCTTAATAAGGGATTGTGAATCTTTTATTTTACTGTAACCTTCCCTCTTATAATTTATTACCACTACCTAAATGCTTGTAAGATGGAAGAAAAAAAAGTAAAATATGCTTTTTCTTTGCTCCTTGGTCCAAGGTATCCCCAAGCATCTCAAAGTGCTCTTCTTAAATAAAAAATGAGAGATATAGCTCCAGCTGGTAGCTTGGCACTAGCTTTAGTTAGATCATTTAAGGTAAAAATTATGGCTAACAGAATTACAAACATAAAATCGGGTATAATTATTTTTGATATAGTGTTGTGGACCATTATTATATCTGAGTTTATTTGTGCCCCTCCAGTATTAACCAAGAATGTACTGGTTTTAAAATCTCCGCACTTGTGATTTCTGCTGTTTCTAATTAAGCTGCTTTTGTTGTTTAGGATAGGTTCTGGTTTGTTACCTATCTTAATTGGATATTTCTACACATCTTCTAACTTGTATTGTTCTAATAATCCTTGTTCTCTTCACTTTGAAAAAAATTAAATTCAGTAAACTTAATTGGGTAATGCTATATGCAGGGATGCATATAAGCATTAAATACACTCTTGAAAATTGTACAAATTTAGGTATTCGTGACAAAAACATGCGTAGATAGTGTAATTGATGTTTATTTTTTCATGATTGACACTAATTTATGCGTGTTTTTGTCATGAATTCCTAAATTTGTACAATGTTCAAGAACGTTTTTAATGCTTATATGCAGCCTTGCATTATCCAAAATAGTTTCAGTTCAGTAAAAATCATTTCACTTCTGTAAAAATATGTCCAACTCAGTAAAAATAATTTAGTTTGTAAAATCAGTTACTTTAAAGAAGAAATATAGTAGACAATAAGTAAAATAATTTCAGTTGGCAAACATAGTTTCAGTTCAGTAAAAATATTTTAGTTCAGCAAAAATAAGTTGATGCGTGTATTTAGGATTCTGTTGAGACTTGTCATTCTCGGTTCTCTAATGTCAATTGTTCTCCTTGTCTAGTGATTTTCTAATCATATCAACTTAATAGTTAATATCTAAAAACTTTGATTGAAAGACACCTCTGCGGCTCAATGTGTATTAAATTTTTAAAGAAAATTTACATTATCTGACGACTTTCCCCCATGAAGTGAAAACATAGTAATGAATGGGATGTCTGTGTGGTCTTTGTTACCTAACAATAGTCAGGGCTTGAGGCTTATGCAATTGGATTTTGATGATTGTGCTTTCTCTGTATACTTTATAGGCAAGAGCTGGTTTGGATTATGAATCCTCTTACGGAAAGGTGCGGCCAAATGACACGATTTTGAAGCTTCAGAGAACAACACCATATTATAAAAGAAACAGAGCACATGTTTGCAGTTTCTATATTAGAGGCGAATGTACGAGAGGTGCTGAGTGTCCTTACAGGCATGAGATGCCTGTCACAGGGGAGCTGTCACAGCAAAACATTAAAGATCGTTACTATGGGTAAGTATGCCACCCCCGTCCCCCCTCTCCCAGAAAATAAGTCTGCCTTTCGCTTTCTCCTGTTAAACATGAATGTGTTTCTGTTAAACCTCAGGTTGTTGAATCTTTAATTCTTGTGGGTACTTGTGGCACGTGTAAAGGCAGGGATTGTTCTTTTGATGGTGTTTGTCTGGTCAATATCATTATATGAGGATTTCTATTGTATCAGTATCTCACAATTTAAAACACATGATATGATCAATGGACTAGTAATTGATGTAATCTATTTAGGGGAAAGGCCCCTGAAACATGATTTTTTCTAATTGCCCTTGTCACAGTGTGATAGAGGTCATGTTTTTTGAAAGCTGAGCATGGTGTCCAAACTCCAAAGCATGATAGCAGTGCTCATGTTGTAGAGGACTGGTCATGCATTTGATTAACTGCTATAGTATTGTGTCCCAGTCAGTGGACATAGTTATCAATCTTAACATATTGGATTTCACCTTGAGGTGTGCTTTTATTCTGTAACTGGGGGAGGGGCGTGTTGCGAGGAAACAATATCTATACATTGCTAGTTACTCTCTGTACTGTAGGCCTGCTGCCGATTTTGTTCAAATTTTTTTTATAGTTTTGACTTATCATACTTCACATGTACTTGTCAACAGAGTGAATGATCCAGTTGCAATGAAGCTCCTCAACAAGGCTGGTGAAATGCAGACACTTGAGCCTCCGGATGATGAGAGCATCAAGACTCTGTATGTTGGTGGACTTGATGCCAGGGTTACTGAACAAGACCTGAGGGATAACTTCTATGCCCATGGTGAAATTGATTCTATACGGATGGTTCTTCAGCGAGCTTGTGCATTTGTAACTTACACCACCCGAGAAGCTGCTGAGAAGGCTGCAGAAGAGCTCTCCAACAAACTTGTCATAAAGGGTCTGAGGCTGAAGCTGATGTGGGGTAGACCTCAACAACCCAAGCCCGAGATTGATGGTGCTGAACAGGCAAAGCAACAGGCTGCAGTGGCACAAAGTGGGATGCTTCCTAGAGCTCTTATATCTCAACAACAAAGTCACCTTCATCCTCCTGGCACAAGTCAGGATCAGATCCATCCAATGCCTTATTTTAACATTCCAGCCCCACCTCAGCAGGAGAGGACCTTATATCCGTCAATGGATCCCCAGCGAATGGGTGCCCTTGTTTCATCACAAGATGGGTCTGGATCCTCAAATGGACCTTCAGTATCGGGGGAAAACAAAACTGGGTCCGCATCTGAGAAGCATCCTCAAAACCACCAACCATATGGCTACCAGGGGATGCCACCTCCTCCAGGTCACTTTCAACAGCCATATTACCAACCATATGGTGGTTATATGCCACCGCCACCACCTCCACCTCCACCTCCACCTCCACATTACCAGCAGTATCCTCCTGCTCAATACCACCAACCTGCAGTGGCTCCCCAACCTCCATCTCAGCAGCAGCAGCAGCAGCAGCAGCAGCAACAACAACAACAACAATAGTATCATCAGGGGCCTTTCATGATTAAGATGTACTTTATGTATAATTGAGATGTTGCTTTCCCTTATTGGAGCCTCTCATTTTCGGCAATGTATTTCGAATATAGATTCCCTTTTTACTAAGTCTCAATCCTTATCATGAAGATTTAATTCAAAATTCATAGTATTATGAGGTTGGAATCATGGTTTTTTTTTTTTTCTTTCTCAATTTTACTTAACATGAATATTCAACCATAGACGCTCAACTACTCAGCTATTATGTCTATTTGAATAGACCAATTAAGTAAATTGGTATAAAACTTGTGTAGGCAGTCGTCTAAAGTCTGAGGTCGAATCATCTAAATCTAGAGGTAACGATGAGCGTAAATAGTAAAACCAAGCAACACAATGAAACCTTGCTGCCTTCAACAATAGCTGTTACCTCGTCAACGTTGCACATACCCAGCAGCAATGTCAAGCAAAACAACCCACAAATGCCACAGTCGGTGTTATTGTCACGATTTTTTTTGAGGAAGTGACCCAATAAATTGTAATTATTCACACAAATTCTTGAAAAAGGCCGGCTTACACTAACTTAGTGTAAAACTGGTCCACTTCTCTCTGGATTCACACGTGCCAGTCCAGCAGTTATTTTTTTTTTCCGTATTTTTTTTGTTTTTCATTTTAGCGCGTATAGTCTTCTACTCTATTATTCAATTTATTTCTCTGTTACTGCTCTGCAATTTCTCTCTCCTCTGTTCATATTTCTCTTTAATTTCTCTTCATCTTTCCTTTATTTTGTTGATTTTCTTTAGTTGACGAATTGAATTTTGGATTTTCATCGGTTTTTGAGGTTAGTTTTTAAATTATTTTTGGTTTTAATCGCATAATTTTTGTTCATTAGCTGTTGTAATTGTTGTTTTGTTATGGTTTTTCATTTTGCATGTGTATTATTAACTTGTAATTCTCTACTTCATTTCAATTTTTAAGTAGAATTCTTTGTTTTTGTTGTAATTTGTTGTATTCGTAAGTATATTAGTTTGATTTTTGGTTTTTTTTGTTTTTGATCGTAATTTTGTTCATATTTTATGGTTTCCTGGTTCATTGTGTTCATATTAGATTGAATGTTTTAGGTGTTACTATTTATTTATTTATTTATTTATTTCAGTTTTTTCATGCATTTTCATTTAATTTGTTGTTGATGTCAATATTTGATTAATTAATTGTTCTTATTTTGAATTTTAGGGTTTAATTTCTTGAATTTGCGATGATGAAGTTTAGAGGTGGTCTTGCGAATTTTCGAAGGAGACGTGGTTTGCGAAGCTCTATTGGTGGATCTGATGATGCTCAAGGTTTTACCAATTTCTCTATTTACAGTTACAATTTCTTGATTTTTGTACATTTGTTAAAGTTACAAAATTAGTTGTTATAGTTAATACAAGTGTTTGCTTAAGTTATGCTTTATGTTTTATTATTATATGTAAGATTGTTTTATAAAAGTTATGTTTATTATAGTTATAGTTATACTATTTTTAGTTAAAGTTATGTTAATCTTAAACTTCAGCATTGTCAGCTTGTTATAGTTATATAAATGTTTGCTTAAGTTATGCTTTATGTTTTATTATATGTCTGATTGTTTTATAAAAGTTATGTTAATTATAGTTGTAGTTATACTTTTTTTTAGTTAAAGTTATGATTTACAGTTTAATATTATTATTTTCTATAGGTGCTAATGATGTAAGCAATGAAGTTAATGTTGATGTGGAGAAGGGTGGAAAGAAGGGAGGTAGTGTAGAGGAGGCTGCAGTAAAGGAGGTTGCAGTAAAGAAGGGTGTTTTGAAGGAAGCTGCAGTAAAAGAGGGTGTAGTAAAAGAAGGTGCAGTAAAGAAGGGTGCAGTGAAGGAGGCTGCAGTAAAGAAGGGTGCAGTGAAGGAGGCTGCAGTAAAGAAGGGTGCAGTGAAGGAGGATAAAAGTGAGGATAGATGAGGGTTCTGAGTAGGATGGAGGTGATGAGGATGAGGGTTCTGAGCAGGATAGAGGTGATGAGGATGAGGGTTCTGAACAGGATGAAGGTGATAATGAGGAGGGTTTAGAAGAGGGTGGAGGTGATGATGAGGAGGGTTCAGAAGAGGATGGAGATGATGATGAGGAGGGTTCAGAAGAGGATGAGGGTGATGATGAGGAGGGAAGTGAGGAGGATTCTGAACAAGAAAAAAATCCAGTAAAGGATGAGTGTGAAAGAAAAGAAGCCAGTAAAGGATGATCAGTGTCCAACTGATAAAAATCCAGCAAAGGATTATCGCCATCCAGTTGAGAAAAAGCTAGCTAAGGCATCCAATAATACTCCTGCTGAGAAAAAACCAAAAAAAGATTATCGTCGTCCGACCGAGAAGAAGCGGAAAATGGTGAAGGACAATATATGTCCTGCTGAGAAAGAGCCAATAAAGGATGATCGTTGTTCGGATGAGAAGAAGCGGAGAGTGGTTGACAAGGCTGTCAAAATTGAAAATAGAAACAGACCAGATTCTGATGCTAAAGAAGATGAAGTTGTTGCAAGTATATCAGAGAGAGATGATTCTGAATCTGATGTTGAAATGTAAGTACCCTTTTTTGAAGTTATTTTTATTATTTTTAAAGTTATGGATTATGCTCTTAAAGTTATGGATAATGCCCTTAAAGTTATTGACATTGTGTTAGTAAGATAGATGTGATAATTAACTTATATGCTGATACAATATCTATGATAATTTTATGTAAAGTTATGGATAATGATATTAAAGCTATATTTTAGTACTTATATATAGCTATAATTTTGTGTATGCTAAAGTTGCATTTATTATTTCTAAATTTGTATTTATTCTCTTTAAAGTTATAGTTGTTCATTTTATTTTTCCTTTCTTCTTTTTTTGATTCAGATTGGATAGGTTTTTCAGTACCCATTGCAGATTGCACACGTTAGTAGATCTTATGAAAGTTTTTTCTAATGAGCAAGTTTAATTTGTTGTTGAAATAGGATTTGGTGGTTTGTTGGATTTAAAGTTGACTAGAACTGTTACAACTTTACTTCCTTGGTTGGTTGATCATTTTGCTACCTTTTTAGCACCTGTTGCAAATAGAACTGCTGATTTAAGTTTTGTTAAAGCTCTTGAAAATGTTGATGAAATTAAGAATTTCAATTGGTGTAAATATGTTCATGAAAGGTTGTGTAGGGCTATTTTGAAGTATAAGAAAAGTAAGAGTCAAGACAGTGTTGGTGGTTGTATTTTGTTGTTGGAGGTTGTGTATTTTCAGCGTCTGAAGTTCAAGAATGAGGCACAAGATTGTAGTTTGCCTCTTATCAAACACTGGACTGATTAGAAAATCAGTGAGGGTGAAAAAAGAAGTTGAAGCTAAGTCATTTGGTTGTGGTATTTTGGATACTACTACATACCCTATATCTTAGAATTTTTTGTTCGGAGATTAGCTACCTCTTCGAATTGCACTTGAAGAAGCTAAGCAAACTGAAGTTTCTCAAGTTGACAATGCTGATAATGCATCACTAGGAAAAAGGATCATTAAGCTTGATGACATCTGATGAAGAAATTCACTCTGTTGCTACTGATTTAAGTTAAAAGTTGCACTTATAATGCTAAAGTTATCTTTCTAATTACTCACTTATTAATGTTAAACTTATACTTTTTATGTTAAAAGTTATACTTATTGTAGCTAAAGTTGTCTTTCTAATTATTCACTTATTATTTTTCAGGTTATCCATGAGCAATTTTTGTTGATGAAGAGGAATATGGAAGTTGTTACAAACTATCATTTGAAGAAGGTTGAAAGTTTAAAGAAGCATGATGTGGCTAGTGCTTCTAGTAGTGAAAGGAATGGTGTCCTTCCAACAAGTGTATTATTCCGGTAAAGGGTTCAGAATTATTAGAAAGGTAATTCTTTAGTACGGTCAAGTGATCGGAATGCCTAGGTGGAGGCCGCTTCCGATAAGTAATATTAATGTACAATTAATATTACAGCTTAATCTTGACTGAACCCTTCGGGTCGAATCCAATCGAACAACCGATCCGAGACGACGAATCAATTTGAAGGATTTGATGAGTCGTCAGAGTTTTACGAACAAAGACGTCGGATATCGAGCTTAGAGCGTCGAGACCAAGCGTCGCAAGTCGAGCCGAATTTAGAATTCGACGAGACGTGAAATCAATCAAGTTACAAGTTCGAGTTAGGCTGTAGCCTCGCATTGGCCTAGCCATGCGAGGGCTAGGCTATCTCGAGCTAGCATGCACATCGCAATGCTAGCCGCAAGCCTAGCATGCTAGGCGTGCTAGGGCAATGCATGCTGGCTAGCCATCGCAAGCATCGCAGCCTTGCGTGCATGTTAGCATGCCAAGCGCCTAGCCATCGCTAGCCAAGCAAGCATCGCAAGGCTAGGCCTTGCTAGCATGCTAGGCGCTGGCAGCAGCAGCGTCGCATAGCACCATGCACCAGCCAGCAGAGTGCTAGGCATGCTGGGCTGTGCGTGTGTGCTAGCAGGCAGCAGCATGCTGTGCCTCGCCTAGCAGCAGCGCCCAGCATGCGTGGCTTGCTAGTAGCACGCATGCACTGGCTGGCTGCGCATGCTTGTTGCTAGCTGTGCACGGGTGTTGGCTGGCTGGCCAGGTTGCCCAGCCTTGGTGCCAGGTGCTAGCTGGCAGCCTTGGCAGCCAAGGCAGGCTGCCAGCCAGCCACTTGGCATGGTGGTCCGGTTTTGCTAAGTGGGGACCAATGCTTGGTCATTGCCTTGGGGAGCAAGGTGGGTTGGTCCCCTCCCTTTGTGGTCCTCACCTTCTCCCTCTCCTCCTATTGCCACTTGTAACTTGGTGATTGAATTGCAATTTTATTTTTGTTTTGATTAAAATAAAATGGGAAAATTTCAAATCTCCCACATTGATTGAGAATGGGAAATCATGGTTCATTTCCCTATAAATACCCAAATTTTGGGATTTGGGAAGAACACTTGAGTGGAACTAAAAAGGCATCTCCTTAGAAAAGTGAGAAAACCTTAAGTTTGTAAAACTTTAGTTTTTATTGGTCAAGTCCCGACTAACCTTCGGGAGTAGGAGCGTTCGGGTCGTGTTCGTGGGTGCGAGCCGTTGGAGACCTTCGCATTTGCGGGGTTCATGTTTTGAAGTAAGATCTCGGGTTCGAGCAAAGAACGCACCAAGGGTATGAATGTCTTTTC